CCCCCCCCCCCCCCCCAAGAAAAAAAAAAAAAAAAAATCTCATGCATTCCCCACACCAATGATATATTGTAATATTATGATATAATATGTTAAATTTGGGGATGCTATTTATGAAGTCTCGAGGGTTGTTCGTATTTTTCAAAGCTTTCAAGCGGCTGGTTGTAAAGTTTTCAGGAGGTTGTTTTGTAAAACTTTTATGGGATTATTTATAACGTACAAAAATTTTAGAGGCCTTTTTGTAAAATCTTCAGGGGTGTTTGTGATTTTGGAAACTTTCAAGGGGTTGTTCATCAAATTTGTAAGGAATTTGTAATATTTTAAAATTTTCAGCACAATGTTTATTACTTTAGCAACTTTTATGGAGCTTGTTGTAAAATTTTTAAACGGCTAGTTGTAAAACTTTTAATGGAATATTTGTAATTTTTAAAACTTTCAAGGGGCTGGTTATAAAAAATTCATGGGTTCTTTGTAAAACTTCATAGGGCTATAATTTTAAACTTTTTAGAAGATTTCTTATAATTTTTTTTATTTTTAGGGATTGTTTAAATTTTAAGAATTTTAAAGTGAAATTTATAATTTTCTAAATTTGTGGTGCTATTTCTAATTCTTAGATTTCTCCGGGATTTATTTGTAATTTTTGAAACTTAAGAGATTGCTTTCAACTTTTCATTGGGCTATTTTATAATATTCAGATTTCTTATAGGGTGTTTGTAATTTTTAAAACATTCAAGGGGTCGTTTGTAAAATTTTTAGGGAGTTGTTTGTAACATTTCAAAAATTTCATCAAAATATTTGTTATTTTGCAAATTTTATGGGGTCAATTGTAAAATTTTTGAGGGATGTTTCTAAGATTTTCAAGGGGATATTTATATTTTTGTGAAACTATTAAAGGATTGGTTGTAAAACTTTCAGGGATTTGACTTCAGGAGCTATTTGTAAATTTAAACTTTTTAGAGGATTGTTCCTAATTTTTTGATTTTTTAAAAATTGTATTTAATTTTTTTCAAAGGTGCAGTATATAATTTGCTTAAATTTATGGTGCTATTTATAATTTTTTAGATTTTTAGGGGTTTACTTGTTTTTGAGTCCAAAAGGATAATTTGTACTTTTTTTTTAATTTCTAGGAGGATGTTTGTAATATTTATATTTTAAAAGGAGTAGTTGATAAATTTCTAATCATGAAAACCTTTTTTAAATACAAACAGGGCTTTGATTAATAGAATTTTCCAATTATGAATAGTTTTCATTTGACAAGGATTCTTTAGTAGAAATGATTAGAAAAGAGAGTTGTGATTATTATAATTTATAATTTGATTTGGATTCTTAGGTGAAGATAGAGTTAATTATCAACATGTCAATTTCTGGCAATTTTTTTTGACATATGACATGTTATTTAACTTTTAGGAGTAGTTCACTCATTTATATGTAAAGGAGGATTTTGATTATTAGAATATTTTTTAATTATGAATTGTTTTAATTTGATTTGGATTCTTAGGTGAAGATAGGATTAAGTGTTAATATGTTAATTTCTGATATGATAGTTGGACACATGGCAATCTTTTTTTTTTGACACATGACATGTTTTTGAGACTTTAGTAGTTCACCAATTTATAGATGAAGGAGGGGTATGATTGTGAGAATTTTTTTTATTATGGATAGTTATAATTTAATCAGGATTATCAAATATTTGATTATTAAAATATCTAATTATGGATGAATTTGATTTAATGATGATTCTTAGAAGATATGATTAGATGTCCATATGTCATGCTTCTGTACTATAGAATGACATATAGCTACTTTTTAATATGACACATGTCATCGATGTAGATGACACTTGTCAGATTTTTATGTTTTTAAAGGAATCACCAATTTCTCATCATATAGATATAAAGAGGGATTGGTTCATAATGCTTCGATTGGACTGGGATATTTTCTAGGATTATAAAGTTCTTTTATGGGATTAGGATTCAAATTAAAATTACTTGTTTTTATTTTTCTTTATATTGAGATTTAACGCAGGGTATTCAATTATTTTGGAAGTTATTTCAAAAACTTAAGAACCATAAAGATTATACAAAGTATCAAAGTTTGAGGAGGTACATTAGAATAAGGAAAACGCAATGGCCCAAAAAATGAATAAGTACTTGGCAGTATAGCAGAATGAGGTCGGAGGACCGCAATGAACTCCATATGAATCACACGTGAAAGTGCTGGGCATTTAAGAACCAAGTCCCTTATCATAAACAATTGGATCAATTACATTAAACGCCGTGGTCTTTTAGCATTTTGCAATAATTCCCTGTGAACTTTAAAATCGTAAAAAACCCTCAGTCGCTTTTACAGAAACCCCAATACTTTTTGGGTAAATTACAGGAAACCCCCGGTAACATTTAAAGTGACTTTTTATATTGTTATCTAGTTCTAATCTTTGGGGGTTATCTACAAATTGTAGAAACTTATTGAGGATTTTGCACAAAATAGAAAAGTTAATGTTTAGTGTGATTTTAAAAGTTCACTAGGGTTCGATACAAAATGCAAATGTTCGTAGGGGTTTAGTGTAATTTACCCCGAAAAAAACTCTCCAATTTTAAAATCCTGCCAATGTTGAGCCTGACAAA